GGGAGGGCCACTGCCTCGGGCGGTGGCCACCACGTGTGGCCACAGTGCCGACTGCAAGGGTGTCATCTCTGGTTTGTACCTAGAGTGTTTTTGCCAGAGGATTTCCGGATCTATACCGATGGCCGAGGGGGGCTTGCGAAATCCGAACTGGCACATATCAAGGTAATAGTCACGACCCTGCATGCTGTACCCAGCGTCTCTGAGAATAGAGCAGCTGTGGAAGTGCTCCAGGAGGAATGTCTAGAGAAGATTCCCCTCTGCCACAGTGCTCCGTAGAGCCCTGCTCTCCCCTGACACAGTGCCAGCAGGAACTCTCTCAAGGCACCAGACCCATTCCCTGGGACCATGGGTAACCAAGCCAGCAGTGTTCAAACGTCAGCGTGGTTGGTACCACATGGTTGGAAGAAGGTGGGCAGCAGGCAGCCAGTGGTTTTGCAGAGGGGCAGGGCTGTGGGTTCAGCCTCTAGCTGACACAGCGATGCAAGCAATCGCACGTCCCACAGTGGAGCCTGTGCTACAGCGTGCGGGCTCGGGCTGTCTGGCGGGCCGCGACTGCTGCCAGGCAAATGCGGTTTTGCCTGGCAGTGTTTGGGAGGACAGCCACGCTGAGGGCACGCATCAGCTTGCACCCTGCCGCAGCGAGGGCTGACACAGGGGTGTAATGGGTTCCAGAGGACTGTAGGGAGCTGAGGAAGGGACAAAGACCAACTGGGAGGTCAGTGCAGGTGTCTGTTCCCAGAGGAGGCTGCAGTGCTGTGATTCTCCCCACATGTGTTGTGTGTTTGTCCTCTGCGGGGACAGGGACTGCAGTGCAGGCGGTAGCAAGGTTTGGTGCCTCGCAAACGCTGCAGTGCTCCCCAGGGTCTCTGGGGAGAAGGCACCGAGCTGTTGATACATTGATCCTTCCAGCGCGACTGCTTCTACGAAGGCTACATCGAGGGTTTCCCTGTTTCGCTCGTGGCACTTAGCATCTGCTCCGGCCTGAGGTAAAGCAGTTGCTTTTGCATGGGGGACAGGCATCAGTGCGAGCACCGAGCGGTGTTGGTGTCATCCCAAGGTGGCGGAAGAGACATTCCTGCCACTCTGCACCTTTGCTTTCCAGCGGGATCCTGCAGCTCACGAATGCCAGCTACGGGATCAAGCCTCTGGAGACTGCAGCTGGGTATCAGCATCTCGTGTACCCAATGTGGAACAAAAACGTAGACACTCAGCTGTTCGTAGAAAACAACTCTCTTGCCCGGACTGGGCAGGCGTCACGGAAGCTGGAGGACACAATAGCAGTGAGTACACCTCCTGTCCGGTTGATCTTTGGTGGGATGGTAGCCATAGACATGAGAAGCTTGTAGCTGATGGATGACTCAATTTGTGCAATAGTGTGTTGTTTCTGAGTTGATTTGGGCACATGCTAAAGGGCTTCATAACTCATCTGTGCTAAGGATGGGGTCTCTGCCTGTGACGGGTGGGAGCTGTGAGGGTGGTCCAAGGCTGGGCAAGCAGGATGGGGATTTCTTGGCAGTGGTTATCATGCAAGAGTCGACCCTGCCTGCTTATTAATGGGACGGAAGAGAGCCAGGCAAGCGGGGAGGGCATGTTCCTTCGCTGGAACTTACCCGTTGGGGCAAAGCCACCGGCAGCGTGCAGCGCCGGGAGGGCAGTGGTCCCAGCAGACGGCTGGTGTGTGGATGGCTGGGTTACAGAGCTGTTGTGAATAGGAAGGAGTCAATGCTTGCCTCTGCTCTCTGTTGTAAGTTGCCTTTTTTTCCATTGGTCTGTGGCCTTGCCAAAATGTCTGTTGTTGTAAATATGGATGGATCTGTGGCTGAGGATGTCGTGTTGTAGATGATGTAAAGACTGCTTTTCTGGGAATCTGGGGCTGTTTGTCCTACACCTCCAAATGGCCATGAAGTGTAGTAACTGACCATGGACCTAAAGGTCTCCTTTGCAGAGCTGCTACGAACTGCAGAAGCTCTGCACTAATGTGTGCATGCAGGTTTTTTGTTCAGTTTGTTTTGTTATTTGATTTTCCTAAAGAGTAAGCAACCTGTCAGTAGATTCCCTCGGTACCTGGAAATGCACGCAGTTTTGGACAAGGCTCTGGTAAGTCTTTGCATCCTCTCTGCTGTAAATTGTTGCCCCTAGAAAAATCTTTTGTGTGCAGCAAGTCTGTAGCTGCTCAAGAATGTCAAGGGCAATTTGCATGAGGCTTGAGAGTCTCCATGCAATGGGAACTAACTCCCTTGGGCATGGACAAGTATATGTTGTGGCAGGGACCGCAGCCAGCGCTCTCGGAGAGTTTGCCTTGCACGGTGCCCTGACATGCTCTTTTGTTTGTCACCTTTCAGTATGACTATATGGGAGCAGACAAGGATGCTGTGACGGCGAAGATAGTTCAGCTTTTCAGCTATGTGAACAGTGTAAGTTGCTTTTGGTCACATCCTGAACATGCATGGGAAATGTGTGGTAGCGGTATGGATAAGGCCCCGTAGCTAAAGCAAGCGGGAGGCCATGGAGCAGCAGGGCTCTGTGGACCAGCCATGGTGTCTGTCTGCCTCCAGATGTTTGCTCGCCTCAATCTGACGATAGTACTGTCTTCCCTGGAGTTTTGGACAGAAAATAACAAAATCCCAACCACAGGAGACGCTGAGGAGTTGCTGCAGAGATTTTTGCAGTGGAAAAACGTGCATCGTGTGTTGCGGCTGCAGGACATAATGTTCCTATTTGTGTAAGACGAGGATGGCTGTGTTAGCGTGGAAACAAAAGGAAGAAGGTGCCGTTATACCATGTGTCAGACTGAGTCTGGTCTGTTCCCAGTTACAGGGAGCAGTCCCGTTACGTGGGGGCTTGTTCTGCGAGGAAGCTGTGTCTCAGAAATCGTGCTGGAGGGGTTGCCTTGGTATGGTACCACTGAGCTGTCTGTCTGTCCCCATAACCTCCTGTGCCTGTCGGTAAGGTGGCGAGCGGTGCCTCAGGAGCTAAGCCCCACCTGCAGCAT